AGTTAAATTCCTCTAGCTTTAATCTCCATCTCACAAGCTTTGAGTTTGGATCTTTAAGTGAAAATAGCAATTGTAGTGGTCGGTGGTCGGAAAAATTTTAAATTTTCGTCCGAAAAGGTATGGGCGGAAGTATTTAGTAGCCCACACAATTGCTACCATCTCCTTTTCGATAGTCGAAGATTTCAGTTCAGTTTCATTTAAAGTTCTGGATGCATAGGCGATGGTTTTATCGATTCCTATTGGACATTGTGATAGGATGGCTCCTATAGCGAAGTTGCTGATATCAGTCTTAAGGTTGAAGGGTTTAGTAAAGTCTGGATATTACAGAAGTGGTTCATTAATTAATAAGCTTTTACCTGTTTTGATACAGTTTAAAAATTCTTCGGTATATTCAATTTTTGCATCCTTTTTAAAACATATGGTAAGTGGTTTTGTAATTTTGGCAAAGTCCTTTATGAATTTTCTATAGTAACCAAGTAATTCTAAAAATCCTCGAATTTCTTTCGCTGTTTTTGGTATAGGATAGTTTATGATGGCTCTAATCTTAGTCGGGTTTGGTTTAATTCCCTCGTAGGTAATAATTCTTCCTTAAGGAATTCACATTTGTCAACTTGTATCTTAAATCTTGTTTCTCTTAATCTTTCAAATATCTTCTTAAGATTTACCATGTGTTCTTGAAGAGAGGTTGAAAATACATTAATGTCATCCATGCAGACCAGACATATTTCTTCTATAAGTCCTTTTAGTACGTTCTCCATTACTCTCTGGAATGTTAAGGGTGTATTTTTGAGTCCGAACGGCATTCTCAGGTATTCATAGTGGCCATTTTCAACTTTAAATGCAGTCTTCTGGATATTTTCTTCGGCCATTTCAATTTGATGGAATCCGCTGGCTAGATCTAGGGTTGAAAATTATTGACAGCGCCCTAGTTTGTCCAGAATGTCTGTTATATTTGGAATTGGATATCGGTCATCGATGGTTTTCTCGTTCACCTTCCTGTAATCGACAACTATGCGCCATTTAATTTTTCCTAAGGCATCTGGCTTCTTTGAAACAAACCAGATTGGGGATGACCAAGGTGATTGACTCGGTCTGATGATTCCTTGATCGAGCATCGAAGTGATCTGCTTACGCAACCCTTCTTTATGGATGTGTGGATACTGATATGACTTGGTATAAACTGGAACTTCGTCTTTGGTTCGTATATGGTGCTTTATTTTATCTAGCAAATGTTAAAGGATCGTCTGGATGATGAAATATCTCTGCAAACTTCCTGCATAGTCGTCTTAGGTAAGATTCTTCCTCTTTATTAAGATGATCGGTTCTAACGAGAGAATCGCCATCTCTTAGATTACTGTCTTTGGTAGGTATGATATCTGACGTGTATATATGATATTATTCGAGATTTATTGCTTGACTTTTGATGGGATCAGTCAATGCTACTTGGATGTATTCATCGGTGTTATTAACTAGCTCGGTCCAGGCATGTTGATTACAGACAATGGTGAGAGTTTCTCTTAGGATTGCACCTTTGACTTCTTGTCTTGGGATGACGATTTTACCTGATGCTTCCTTTACTGGCAATCTGACTTGGGTAATTGTTTGGGGCTCTAGCTGGACTGTATAGAATTGGGATTTGTTTGCGACATAATAATTAATAGGAAGAATAAATGTTTTGTAGTAAGAGTAGCTTGGGTAAAATCGAGATTTGCTTTTAGAAGTTTAAGATTATCGAGGCCGATAAGACCGTCAAATGTCATGTGACTTTTAAAAAGATAAAATTTTAAGTTTATATCCGAGTTAAATTCGGGAAAAATTGGAATTTCTACAAAAAAATCTTGTGAATGATTCTGAAAAATTGATGTAACGATAAATGGTTCATATTTAATATTAGTTTTGTAGAATTTATTGGTTTTATCAGGATTAAGGAAATATTTAGTGGCTCCTGCATCAATAAGAAGTTTAAGAGTGGGGTTTTGAATTTTAATGTAAGGAAGGTTACCACGTTTCTTCTTTTTCTTTTGGAAACGTTTGAAAATTTACATCTTCCTCATATTCTTGGCTTTCTTGTTCATAATAAGGGTAATCTGGGGATGTGTCATTGTCTATACCTTCCTCCTAATTATTTTCCTCTTGTTGTTCGATATTAAATAGTTCTTCTACGGTGAATCGGGGGCTGGCTGTTTGTTGAAAGCGGAAGTTTCTTTGAATTGAGGACTATTAAAGCCGGTTTGGCGTGTAGATACGCTCATAGATGTTGGCTTATGTGATTGAGATGGAACTGGTTTATGAAAATTGGGTTGATTAGCCCTAGAATTTTATGCATATGGAGTGGTTTGATGATTTTGTTGGAATCTAGGAGGTTGAAATGTCCCTCTTGGATTATTGTTGAATATTTGATGTTGCAAAGGCATTTTATTTGGCCTAAAGAATGGCTGTGGCCATTGGGGCTTGGGCACCTCAATCTGCCATCTTGTAGGAGCGTTTGTATGAGTTAAATTGGGTCTCTGTGTTTGTGAAGTCGTAGATGGTTTATTAAAATATTTTTTGGAGATATCTAATGTTATTTTTTTGTTGAATATATTGGATAGCAAAAGCGAGATTTGTTGGTCTCATGGATCAAATTGTTGATTCTAGGGGTTCTCTTAGGCCTGCCAAAAATGTAGTTAGAGGCTGTTGTTGGAAAAATTACTTTTTGCTTATTTTAACTTCTTCGTTTTTTGTGTGTAATTCAATATGATTTGAAATACTAAATCTGAGACTAAATCTCTAGTTAATGAGTTTTCGTTGTATTGATCTGCAAAATTTTGGACAAGAATTGATTTTATTGACGGTCAGTCATTACAGCCGTATACAGAAATAATTTCTTTGACTCTTCCTTTAATTTTGTTCATAATTCCTCGGGTAAGCATGTGATTTTGAAACTTTTTTGGGATTTGTATGATCCCAGAAATGGTTTAGAAGCATGGAAATAACATCAATAAAATTGTGGAGTTCATTTGGATTGCTGTCGTACTCTGGTGCGATTAAAAGGTCTTGATTAACATCAAAAAGGGGTGCCATATTAGAATTATTTGAAATGGATGCTGGTGTAATAATTTTAAAAGGTATTTCAAAAGAATTTGTGGACTTCTAAATGTAAATCTGGTTTCATATCTTAACTAGATTCTATATTAGATTCAAAAATTGTTGAAAGAGAATCGCTTATTCTAAAGGATGATACTTGTGAAATGATATTAGAATTAGAAATAAGATGAAATTTGCTTACAGGTATAGGATGATGCTTGGATGCATTCCTTTTTGGTACAAGTTTCTTTTCTTCTTCAAGTTTCTTTTCAGCTTTCTTTAGATTAGATTAGATATAAGAATCCTTACAACATTAATTCTAAAGAGAGAAAGTCAACTTTTCCCATACAAAATAGCACAAAATCATTCTCAAGTCTTCTCTTCTAAGTCGGCTGTACCTCTTCCAGCAACTGCCGTTCTTAGGTCAACTTTTTTGCTTTTATCTATAGAACTGCACTGGTTGTTTTGGAATCCTCCCTGCACTCACTTCTACTTTATGTCCAAGCTAGTTGAACATAAAGTACGAGCTCTTTGCTTTCTAATATTCTTATTAATTAAATAAAAGTAACTTTGAAAAATAAGGCTATTATCGAGCACAAGTTATTTAAATCTAGCCCAAGTACTTTCGCTTAAAATAGCATCTTCAGGGGCATTTCGTCAAAATGTAAACTATCCGGCAAGCGTAGAATGTGGAAACATTAATAATGACATAAAATTGTACAAAACACTACACTAAAACGTGGACAAACAGTTTAAAATTACTTAAAGATTCTACGCTACATTCTTTGTCAGTATCTGGAGAAATAATCTCCAGATTATTTCTCTCCAGATCTCTCTCTTATTTCTCCAGATACTGACAAAGAATGTAGCGTAGAATCTTTAAGTAATTTTAAACTGTTTGTCCTCGTTTTAGTGTAGTGTTTTGTACAATTTTATGTCATTATTAATGTTTCCAATTGTCTTAAATAGTTTACATTTTGACGAAATGCCCTGAAGATGCTATTTTAAGCGAAAGTACTTGGGCTAGATTTAATTAACTTGTGCTCAATAAACTTATTTTCAAATTATATTCGAGCATTCAACCATTCAATAAAGTAAATAAAATTAAATAAAATAAATAAAATTAATAAAATAAACTAAATAAAATTACATAAAATTAAATAAATTAAATAAACTTTTCTCTAAATATTTCTCTGTAACTAACTACCTCAGGAAGTATGAACCGAGAAACAGAAGATGAAGTCATTTTTAGATTTCTGTTTAGAATGAATTTTATTGTTCCGTAAATTGTTTCACCTTTTTGTGCAATATTAATATCCAAGTATTGGTTGAGTTTACCGAAAGTACAAGCTGAATATAGCCGCAAATGTCAAAAATATTTCGGTTTGGCAGTGTTGGCATGTTTTTGTAATGCATATTTGTATGATTCAAATATAAAGAGATAAAGCTTTTAAAAAGTACATTTTGATTATACTATTTTATGAATTCTGCAAGTTTTAATTTATATGAAGTAATAACGAGTAGATATTTGTCTCTTTCCAGATTAATTACAAACATCTGTTATAATCTGGCAACTGCTGATTTGACGATTGCCAACTCTATCCCCTAGTCTATCAAAAGGTAATTGCTATAAAAATTTCTAATAATTAACTGCAATTAATCTCCACAGAAACAAATATTTACTCATTGTTGTTTTATATAAATCAAAAATTGCAGAATTCATAACATAATATAAACAAAATGTACTTTTCTAAAGCTTTATCTTTTTATATTTGAAGCATACAGGATCTACATTATAAAAACATGCCAACACTGCTATACCGAAATTTTTTGTTCCATGCTTGACATTTGCGGCTAAAATCAGCTTGTACTTTCGGTAAACTCAACCCAAGTATTAATTGTATAGTAATAATTAACATCTTAATATTTTTCAGAGAAGAAGACTTCGACGAAAACAACTACTAGCACACAGCAAATTCTTGAACATTTTAATATCTTATGACGTAGGCTTTGACGAAAACTTTCCCTTAAAAAGATTACCTTTACATTAAACTAGACCGTTGAAGGCGTTTACAAATATACTATCACGCTTTTTAAGGGCCTTGTGTGAACACAGCTTCTTGGCATTTTTCTTTAATTATCTGGAGTTCAGGCACTATCAAAAGCAGTTGAACCTGTAACAATATCTGGATAATATATTAAGAAAATAATGTAAGGGTACATTGATGTAAAGCCCCGTGGGATTCGTCTTCGTAGAACCCGAGATCTGTCAGGTTCGAATCGATATTGGTATTTTCGGTGCCTCTGGGGAGAGGTTTTGTGTTTCATAGTACTGAGATCATCTTCTTTACACTTAAAGTTGACCAAGTGTTTTTGTATTTCGATAGCATCTCTGAACATATGTTGATAGATGTGTAATGCTCTACTAAACAAATACACATTTACGACATAAGTATTAGCAGCAACAAAGACCATAGATAAAAAAGGAGAAAAAGAGCAGGTACAATGAAGAATGGATTTCTTTCTTGTAAATAGGATTTCCAAGAAAGCACACAAGAAATATATAGAAACAGAACTTGAGAAAGAAGAACAATTTTGTGAAAAAGTAGGTACGACGGTGGGCGGAAAAAATATTCAGAAGAGAAAAAAGAAAATTCGAAAATTATGAAATATAGAGAATGGAACAGAACTTTTAAAGTAACGATTTAGGAGAAGCATATACATATTTTCCAAATCTAAAGTAGTCTAACCTTAAACATAATTGTGTAGAAACTAAGAAGGAGAGAAAACCTATTTGCAAACTACTGCAAACACAAGAAAATAACCATTTTTGCATTTGCGGCAGAACAACAGAGGGAATGAAGAAATAAGGAACTTGCCTCTCGAAGATGTCAAACAAGTACCTACCGCACAACACAAGCGCAAAGGAACCGTAATTCGACGACCTTCTCTACGAAGTGCTTAATTTTTATATTATCTCCATCAGAGTAGCTTCTTCTCGATAATAGTTACCTTTCTTTGGTTTCTTAAGGATTTGATGTTTCTCGTAATTGCGGTGATTAACATTGTCAATATGTTAATTTTATCAAGTGTGAGTTCTTTCACTAACAATATTCAAGGGTACAGTAGGAAATGGAAAGGGAAATTCTAAACTGTTGAATTTCTTCTACCTTAATCATTTTAGATCTAAATGTATTAGAAATTATTTATGGAAAGCTAAAATTTGTATTAAATATAACTGTTGAAACTTTTTTCGACATTCAGTACATTCCAAATATTGTAAGAATTAGGTAGTTAATTTTTTTAAGAATATTCAATAAACACCAAAATAATCAATGAAAGTTTTGATAAGCCTGAAGCAAATAAGATAATTCAAGAAAATTATCAGTAAAAAGACAAGATCTGCTTATAAAGATATTTAAAAAATAATAGTATTTTAAACTAATCGAGTTGATACAGACTATTTAGGAGTTATGATATAAGGTTTTACTTCTTAAAGCGCTTATATTAGCCTTAAATACTATATTCAAAAAAATTTGTAAATAAATAATACATGAAATTCAGTATATAATAATAATACTGTTAATTTTGTTTCTGTGTATTATTTCTCCCTAAATACGTAATCCCGAAATAGAAACCGCAATAAAGAAATTAAAAACTAGAAAAACTCAAGGGAAGACGAAATAGTGGCAGAAGAACTCAAAGACATGAGATATATGGGGATTTAAATGATGTTTAACCCTTTAGTAACGGAAAACTGATATATTCGCGAAATCAAAACGAGTCCGATATCCGGACCTATCCATTTGAAAATATTTCCATAGATGAAAGCCGTATGTTATTCAAAGGACGTATCTCGTTTCGCCAATATCTTCCGAAAAAAAGGCATCGTTTTGTAATTAAGTTTTTTGTTGCCGTTATTTCTGAAACCGGTTATATATTAGATTTCATAATATATACCGGAGCGGATACAGATATAACTCAGTATTCGGTGAATCTTGGTATATCTGGAAATATCGTTATGACACTGAGCGAGCCACATTGGAATAGTAGCCACAAAATTTACATGGACAACTGGTGCAGCAGTCCATTACTGGCTGAAGGTTTATTCGAAAAAAAAAAGACTAATTGTTGCGGAACTGTAAAGCAGAATCGAAAACATATGCCAAAATTTAAAAATAATCTGGCAAAAGGTTCTATACTAGTGGATTGACTACCTAAAAAAGCTATATGCAGAGGAAGAACATCATCACCCCGCCCAACTCAATTCAGTGGTCAACACTCTCATTTCTCGTTCCATAAGACTCAGCGACACCAATCATAGGTTATCCGAAATTAATTCAATAAGGCAAACACTCTTACAAAACGGCTACCACAAAACCCAAATCAATAAGAGCATTCAAAAACATCTAAACCCCATTCCATCCAAAAAAGAAACCTTAGCGCCGGATCAACCCAAAATCTTCCTACCTTTTATTAAAGGTGTCACTGACAAAATCAGTAGAACACTTCTTCCTCTAAACATCAAAACCTTTTTCACTACTCACTCCAAGTTGTCCAATCTCGTCAGATCCGTAAAAGACCAAATCCCTAATGAAGACCATGGTGTCTACGATATACCTTGTTCCAGTTGCCCACGTACATACATCGGACAGACAAACCGACGAATCCATAACCGTATTTACGAACATTCTATATCAGTCAAACATTGCGATACTACTTCAGCCCTAGCCCAATATCACATTCAAACAGGCCACAAAATAGACTTCAAAAAAGCAAAAACCATCGCTTCCATCCGCTCCTTAAAATCAAGAATCATTGGTGAAGCCATCGAAATCGAAAAACGGCCTAACAGCTTAAATACGCGCGACGACGCAAAACGATTGCCGCCAACATGGCGACCCCTACTTCAGCGACCTCCCGCCCACACCGTTCAGGCCACGTCAGTCCAGACCACGTCAGTCCATACCGTTCCCGCGCGTACAGCGAGTATAAAAGCAACGTCACAGGGTAAGACCGGTTGTCACTCGACACTGAGGAGTAGGCAGATTGAGACCTCAGTGCCGAGAGACAGTTCTTGTATTACAGAACACCATACTGGTACGTTTAGAGTGAGGGGAGTAGGCAGATTGAGACAATAGGTTACCTTTAAGTTTTTGTGATAACTGCCATACTTATGAGCCATAGATGATTACTGGTTTCAATATGGTGTTATATATATTTTTTTCGTTTTCAGTCTTATATTTGTCTGCCATAGTACTGAATTCAATGCACCTATAACTCGTTTCCCTTTGGTTATTCTGTCTTTTATGGCTTCATCAGTTCTTCCTGTTTTTGTTAGTTTTATTTCGAGGCCTCATTTTTTGTACTCTTCCATTAGTTTTCTAGTCATATACTCTAGGTCTTCCTTGTCTTGGGCAATAACTACCTGGTCATCTGCATAGTGCAACGTATATAACGTTTCATCCCCAATAGACAGCCCCATCCCTTTACACTTCTTTTTCCAGTGCATAAGTGCTTTGTCGATATATATATATATATATATATATATATATATATATATATATATATATATATATATATACATATATATACATATATATATATATATATATATATATATATATATATATATATATATATATATATATATATATATATATTAAATAGTATGAGAGAAAAACAACAACCTTGCTTCAGTCCTTTTGTTACCTGAAAACCATTAGTAACCTTATTTCCTATTTTAACTTTTGATATTGTGTTGTTATATAGATCTATTAATAGCGTCGATTAGTGGAACGCTGATACCGGTTTTCTCCAATACTTCCCACAATTTCGCAACAGGCACGGTGTCATATGCTTTTGTTAAATCTACTAAAAGTAAATGCACTTCTCGAGATCTCAGTGTTCTTTTCTCGAGTATTTGGGATAAGCAGAAAATACTATCTCCGAATATATAATACTCCGAAAATATAATTGGTGATTATTTGGGAGACATTTGGGAGCAGATATCGTGGGGCAGGCAGAGGACTGGTGGCTGAGCCAGCAAAACGGGCAAATGATTGATTTTTCGGGGCATTCTGTGTTGAAATGTCCGCTTTTGCAGCATTTCGAGCAATATTTCGATCGAATGGGTACGGAATTGCCTGATCGTGGTATTTCACAGGCCAACCGTTCACGCTCGATCAAAATACCGCTCGAGTGCGCTTCAGCGAACTTTATTTCAGAGTTAGTGGATACTCTGATGTAGAAGGTGGGTTGGTTGGTGGAGCGGGCGGTTATTCGAACTACTTTGGTGTATGGAAAATTGTTTTCGGATAAATTATCCTCGATGAGTTTTTGGGAGAGGGTTTTTGCCACGCCGGCTATGACTAGGTGGAAGATTGACGAATTGTTTGGATTGGGTTGTGGATTTTGGGATTTATTTAGACGAGCATAAATGCCAATGCAGAAAAACCCGATTCGCAAAGATATGTGGATGAAAACTGGACTAATAACTCCGCAGATACTAAAGACACTTAGATCTTCGCGACGGAGGTTGGCAATCATCATAGCTATTCGGACTTTTGAGACGGCTGCTATAAAAAGTTCATTTGATGCACATCCGTACCACTCTCTTAAGTTTGCGCAGCCATGACATTCTACTCCTCCCTATGCTTCTCTTTCCTTGAATCTTTCCCTGCATAATCAGTTGGAGCAAGGTGTATTTCTCTCCACGTGTAATATTTCCGAGATATTCTAGTTTTCTTGTTTTAATTGTATTAAAAATGTCCAAAGCTTTATTCATCCTTCTCAGAATCTCTTTGCTTGTGACGTGTTCTGTCCACGATATTTTCAGAATTGTTCTATACACCCACAGCTCGAATGATTCCAGTTTTTTCATTGATGTCGCATTCCATGTCCAAGATTACATTCCATAGAATAAAGTAGAAAAAACATAGCACCGTGCCAACGTAACCCTTAGTTCCAGCTTTAAATCCCTGGTACATAGCACTCTTCTCATTTTATTGAAATTTCTCTAGCCTTTTCTATGCTGATTTTGATTTCCTGAATGTAATCATTTATGGAGTTAATCATTGTTCCCAGATATGCATATTTGTCCACTTATTCGAGGTTGGTTCCGTTTATTAAAAGATTCTCGTTATTTCTTTGAGTTTTCGATATTCCCATAAATTTCGCCTTCTTGACATTCATTGTTGGACCATACAATTTTCCATACTCTGCTATTCTGGTCACCAGTCTCTGAAGATCTTCAATGTCTTCGACTACGAACACAGTGTCGTTCGCATATCTAATGTTGTTAATGGGAACTCTATTTACCTTTATTCCAGCTGTTTCACCCTCAAGAGCGTTTTTTCAAGATCTCTTCGGAGTAGACATTGAAAAGGATTGGCGACAATACGCATCCCTGTCTCACTTCACATCTAATTTCAATTCATTCTGACAGCTGTTCTTTAACACGTACTTTTGTTCGCTGTTTATAGTATAAATTTGATATGATCCTGAGGTCGTTGTAGTCAATCTTCTTTAATTTCAGGACATTCATTATTTGTTTATGTCGTACTTTATCCAATGCTTTATTATAGTCAATAAAACATGCGTATATATCTTGATTGACGTGCAATCATCTTTGTATCAGTATATTAAGTGAAAAAAGAGCTTCACGCGTTCCTAGGTCTTTGCGAAAACCAAAAACTATGGTTTTATCTATGATACTTTCTGTATAATCTTTAATTTTACACAAAAATCAAAATACAATAGATCGAGCTGAGATCGGGAGTTCGAGCTGATCGGGATATTCTTAGTACTTTTGTCGCATTTAAGTAGCTCCATTATTTGGGGCCCTTGTGTATTTATCAGCCACTACCATGATGTTTCTTGTGAAAATTAGCTAGGTTGTTTCCCGTTGCCTTCTTAGATTGTGTAGTTGAAAGAAAATTGGACCCCGTATATCCGAAGAAACAAGAGTTAGCCAAAGAATGTTGATAGGAAAAATTAAAGATATTTCACTCAGGATAAGTTAAAAAAGAGTAATAAAGGGTGAAGGCTCTTATGATCCATCAGGTGCATTTCATTAGATTCTAAGGACACTTTGTGTTCCCCCTCATACCTCGGAGTGTTAACTACAGACTAATTTGACTCGTCTAGCATGCTACAGCATTGGAGGATAGGGGCACATTATTTTACAATGTAGAAGCATCTACACCCCAGATCCATGGCTAGTACGAGTAAATTAGCTACAAACAAGAGAAAGTGAAGCAAGAAAAAGTTTTAAAATCTTTATTTTATATCTTAGTGTTTTAAAGCTATACATATATATTTGTGTTTATAAACATACAGTTATGGTGAGTATTTCATATTTAAATATATACACCCAAGGCATAGATAAAACACTGCAACAATTTTTGATGAAATTGGTTCCTTCATTTAGAATTTTCATATATCATATACAAATTTTATAGTTTTTGAAAATATAGTATTACATTTGACTTTAAAAAAGGCAACAGTGATGTATACACCTGGTACAGTTTAAGCGTATTATTGTTTACATATATAAAAAATAGAGTCCTTTTCTCATTTGTTAACTCAGT